GTTGGAGGCCATCGGAGGCCATCGCTCTTAGGTTGGAGGCCATCGCTCTCAAAGATTGGAGGCCATCGCTCTTATAGATTGGAGGCCATCGCCTTTAGTTGGAGGCCATCACTAGTAGGTTGGAGGCCATCGGAGGCCATCGCTCTTATAGATTGGAGGCCATCGCTCTTAGGTTGGAGGCCATCACTAGTAGGTTGGAGGCCATCGGAGGCCATCGCTCTTAGGTTGGAGGCCATCGCTCTCAGGTTGGAGGCCATTGCTCTTAGCTTGGAGGCCATTGCTCTTATAGGTTGGAGGCCATCGCTCTTATAGGTTGGAGGCCATCGCTCTTAGGTTGGAGGCCATCACTAGTAGGTTGGAGGCCATCGGAGGCCATCGCTCTTAGGTTGGAGGCCATCGCTCTCAGGTTGGAGGCCATTGCTCTTAGCTTGGAGGCCATTGCTCTTATAGGTTGGACGCCATCGCTCTTGTAGGTTGTTGGAGGCCATCGCTCTTATAGGTTGTTGGAGGCCATCGCTATTTTGGGTTGTTGGAGGCCATCGCTCTTAGGTTGGAGGCCATGGCTATTAGGTTGGAGTTGGAGGCCATCGCTCTTGGGGTCGCTTGGAAACTCAAAGTGTCCTGACCCTTTATATTATAATATGACCCATCGAGCTGTTCAGGTGTGGACAAGCAGCCATTGAGCACTTGTACGTGGATGCGGAGGTCATTGGGATCTGACACATCACCCGTGACAATGGTGTTCTGCAGGTGGTAGGTTGTATCCTACGATCGTGCGGCAGGATTGACCAAAACCTGGAGAGGTTGAGAGTAATTTCAGCAAACAATGGCTTCTTGCTTGTAGGGTTGGGGATTGCTAGCCAGTGAAAGAATCTGTGCAGACATTTGGAAAGAGTGAGAGTGAGATGGCTTTTCTGCTTGGAGGTGAATCGCTCGACTTGCAAAACATTTGGACCCAGATGGTGTTGAAGATTCTGTTGGCCAAAGTAACGCAATGACCGCAGTGACAGACTCCTCCTTGGGAAGTTGTTCGGCTTAGCGGCTTGGTGTCTCACGAATTGTCCTTGAAGGCATAGAAGGACACCCGCCTCCTAAAGTTGGAAACAGCCTTGGTTGTAAACCTCTCCACCCATATCCCCCCAGCATCCCCCCAGGGTTTTCCTCGTCCCCTCAGGGATGGTCAGGATGCGAGACATGGACCCATCGGACCTATCGGACGACTAGAATCTGTGTTTTGAGCTCAAGGCCCCGTCCTCCTACTTAATTAATGTAGGTGCCTACTTAGTTAGAAGTTCGCTCCTAGCTACTTAAGCTCGCAGGATGGCTCACGCTTGGGGGGAGCTTCTTTGAAGAAGAGCCCGCACTAATGATTTGGTTCCTAGGTGTTTTGGAAAACTTAAGTTTTCTTGTTCCTAGTAGTAATGCCAGCAGCTACTAGTAGCTTCTTGCTCCTAGTAGCGATGCCCTTGTTACTAGTAGCTGTTTCTCACCTGTAGCGAGTCCACCTCCTCGATTAATGCTCCACTCACCTGCTTCCCCCACCAAGAAGGGCACAGGGATCCTCCAACGTTTCATGCTGTCGAGCGTTGTAAATCCGGCATATCTGTCCTTGGCACATTTCAGGAGTCGAGCACATGGGAAATGTCAGTTGGACTAGTAAGCGGGGTGTCGTACTCAGAAGAATATGACACAAAAAGACACATCAAATCCCATCCAGGGCACCGAGAGGCATGATCGTCACCACCACCTGAGTGTCCGAGCTGGCTGCCACCTCCTGGCACAGGTTTTGACCTTTGAAAAATTGAAATCGAACATCCACTGCTACACCTTCATGTGGTTCCTACAATAGGTGCAAAGCTGCACAGCATTTCTTGCAGTTGTTGTTACAATATAAACTGTAGTTACACCCTTTTTGCTCATGCAGATACGTGCTGTAGATATCACCCTCAGCTTTCCTCCCGTGTGCCTTGATTTCGCGTAAACATACAGCAGAGCACCCATCCCCGCCAAAGTCATTGAAGTCGTCACACTCTTCAGCTCCCTCCACGACACCATCGCCGCAAACAGTCATTTTGCAGCTGTCGGCCTATGTCATCAAACCGGTTTCGTGCTGAAAATAAACATGACAAACTGGTCCAGGTGATGTAGGGAATGTGACACATTCAAATGCATTATATAAAATATTCTGTATCAGGGCCATGAAGAAGAGGGTATGCTGATCGGAGTGCCACATGGGTGTCAAAGAATGTCGAATGTCTGGATGTGCCAACCGACTGGCGAACACGAGTCCCCAAACGAGTCACTGGCGAACTCATCTGAGCTGTGCCAAGTGTTGATCCTTTTGACTTATGTCAATGTGTCATGTCATGCCATAGAAAAGTATTGCGATTACTAAAACGCAGCCTGCCATTAAAAAACTATACCGGCATAGACCCCAGATAGCACTTCAAGAAAAGGATAGCATGGCAAGAGCAGGAGACAAGCTTGGGAGACATCCCACTCAAAGCCGGGAAAAGGATGGAAAGGTAAACAAGACCTAAATCATCTTATAGCAGCATCCGCGTCAAAGGCAGGCAAGAAAATGACAAGGCGGCAGCGGCAGCCAAGAGCGAAATCAGGAACAGAGACAAGCTTGGGAACCACGGCGGCAGCGGCAGCCAAGAGCGAAATCATGAAGGGAGACAAGCTTGGGAGACCAGGCGGCAGCGGCAGCCAAGAGCGAAATCATGAAGGAAGACAAGCTTCACAGACAAGGCGGCAGCGGCAGCCAAAAGCGAAATCATGAAGGGAGACAAGCTTAGGAGACAAGGCGGCAGCGGCAGCCAAGAGCGAAATCATGAAGGGAGACAAGCTTGGAAGACAAGCCGGCAGAGGCAGCCAAGAGCGAAATCATGAAGGGAGACAAGCCTCACAGACAAGGCAGCAGCGGCAGCCAAAAGCGAAATCATGAAGGGAGACAAGCTTCACAGACAAGGCGGCAGCGGCAGCCAAGAGCGAAATCATGACGGGAGACAAGCTTGGGAAACAAGGCGGCAGCGGCAGCGGCAGCCAATTTCCGCAATCAGGAACCCATCCATTGAGAAGTAAGAACCCCTATAGCTTCGCTATCTGGGGAAAAATAGCCCACAAAAAAATGTTGCTTACGGTTGATGCAGGTTTACGTGTTGTGAATAAAGTCGATTATGTTGCTTAATGTTGCAAGGGCGTACGCTTAGGGCTGACAATCTTCTCCTCTTTTCCCTCCAGTTCCTCACTCACTTGATGGAGAAGTCCAATGGCTTGGACCTCAAACCTGGAACCTTCATGAGTCATGGCCTCCAAAGGGCAAAAAAGGGCAAGGGCGGGCACAGCCAAGCACCAGGAAACCCCTTCACACAAATCTCTCTACTTCACAGAACAAAAATAGTGGACTGTGATGACTGATTTGGAGGCCTCCACAAGAATTGATTGAGTGATATTTAGCAGGGTCGAGGTCTCATCGTAATATCTCATAACGAAGGGGAACTCTCTGACTCTCCTGCTCTCTGATTTAATCAGTTCAAGTGACATGGCTGGAATTGCCGCCATAACATACGTAGCCAGTCTCTACAATGCAACTGGAGGAGCAGCCATCACCGTCCTTGGTGTTTCCATCATCACAACCTTCAGAAGGAACTCTCACACCATCTCCACACTTCGGATGGCAATAATCCTGAACCATCTCCTGGGCACGTCTGGTTTGTGAAAGTCCTTCATCAAAGCAGAAAGGATCACCCTTTACTGGAGAAAGGTAACGAACTTCACATTCGGTCTTTTTGTTTTCAAGAGGGTCAAGTGAAAACTCACAATGTTTGTAGGCCTGTAGACTGCAAACACAAAGTATCAAAAGGTGTGATCTTTGCACGCTGAGTCTCTGTACCTCCTTCACAAACGTAGCCTGTTTCAATCATACAGCTAGAACTGCATCCATCACCGGACCTTGTGTTCGCATCATCGCATTCCTCGTGCATCACCACCCGTCGGCCATCCCCACATCGAGATGCGCAAGTGGATGGCTCCGCTATGCCCAGTGGCTGAGTGCAATAGTACCCTGGTTCCACCCTGCAGCTAGAAGAGCATCCGTCGGTGCTGTTGACATTTCCTTGGCACAGGAAGAAACCCTTCTGATTATTCTGGGACCCTTCCACCACAGGTTTCCGGCAACCTACCTGAAAACTTGTTGATCTTCACGGTCAGGAAGATGGAGAACCCTTCTTCGATGAAGTGCGGTAGACCGTTTTGTGGGCATGGCCCGTTTCGCATTTCCGTTTCTCGCAAGGAGCAAGGCTCCATCGTCGCACTGCTCGTGATAGCCCAGAATGCCATCCCCACATGTGGTGGGGAAGCAGTAGGAGAAGTGACCAGATCCAGCGCTTGGGATGGCGGTAGTTGTCATGTTGGTCATGTTGGTCACGTTTGTAGAATTTCCAGGATCCATAGCAGCCGCATCGAAGCAATAATATCCTGTCTATCTCCGAAGCAAACTAGAGTAAGGCTATTTATAAGCAATTAGATGATGTTTTATCCGCATATTATGTCTAAGCAATAAGGTGCCCGCGTGTTGGACCAGAGTCAATAGAAACGTCAAAAAATTGCCAAGTTGCCTGGTTCGACTTCACAGAGCCTTGGATTTGGTCAAAGCTGGAGAAAAATATCTTGGAACACCTACAATCCCCTCTCCTTGTATTTGAACACGTACAATCGGTTTCAACCTTCGCAATCTTCAAAGACTCCAGCGTCTGGACTTGAACAAACCAAAATGAAGAAAAATTGCTTGGAAACTCTTCAGCAAATCCAGGAGACTCAGAACAACCATCCCCTGCGTCCAGATTCCCATCATCACAGGCTTCAGAGCTCTCTCGATAGCCATCGCCACAGGTGCCACTGAGGATTCGCACCGACTCGCTCTCCTGCCGTTGGCGATGAAAACGAAGGGCGTTTGTTGTTTGCCCGCTCCTACTTAATGAAGTAGGCGACTACTTATATAATTAAGTAAGGGAGTAATCATCTGGGTCAGACACAGGATAGCTCACGCACTAATGATTTGGTTCCGAGATGTAGGCCCAAAACGGGTACATCCAAACGAATCAACCTTTGAGACACAGCCTCATACCAGGTCCAAGTCTAAATATCGGGTCTGTACTCAAAGATGGATTCCATAGATGAGAGCAATACGGAAGCTTTGTGAACGCTACCTGCAAGGTCTTTCTGGTGAAAAAAATACATGTAAACCAAGACTAGTAACAAGAAGCTAGTAGGTTGGAGGCCGTCGCTACTAGGGTGGAGGCCATCGCTACTACTAGCAAGAAGCTACTAGTAGCGATGCACTTGTTACTAGTAGCTTTTTTAATTCTAATAGCTTCTTGTTACTACTAGTAAGGCACTTGTTACTACTAGTAAGGCACTTGTTACAACTAGTAAGGCACTTGTTACTACTAGTAAGGCACTTGTTACTACTAG